GTTGTTGCTAGTTTTTTTAATATGTGCCATTCTCACTGGTGTAAGATGGTATCTCATGGTAGTTTTGATTTGCATTTCCCTGATTACAAGTGATGATGAACATTTTTTCATATGCCTGTTGGCCATTTGCATGTCCTCTTCAGAGAAGTTTCTTTTTAGCTCTTCTGCCCATTTTTTGACTGTATTATTTTCTTTGTTGTTGTTGAGTCTCATCAGCTCTTTGCAGATTTTTGTGATCAGTCCTTTATCATTAGTGTTGTGTGCAAAAATGTTCTCCCAGTCCATGGGGTTTCTCATTGTTTTTGTTATTGTCTCTTTTGCTATGCAGAAGCTCTTTAATTTGATGTAGTCCCAGCTGTTTATCTTTGCCTTCACTATCACCGCTTTGGGTGATATGTCTGTAAAGATGTCTTTGATGTACATATCACGAGTGTTTTGCCTGTATTTCCTTCTATGTATTTTATGGTTTCAGATCTTATGTCTAGTTCTTTAATCCATTTTGAGTTGATTTTTGTGTACGGTGTGAGGTAGTGGTCAAGCTTCATTCTTTTGCATGTAGTGACCCAGTTTTCCCAGCACCATTTATTGAACAAACATTCTTTGCTCCTTTGTCAAAGATTAGTTGACCATAAATCTGTGGGTTTGTTTCTGGATTTTCTATTTGATTCCATTGGTCTGTGTGTCTGTTCTTGTTCCAACACCATGCGGTTTTGATGATTATGGCTTTATAGTATAGTTTGATGTCTGGGAGTGTGATGCCTCCATTCCCTTCTTTTTTTTTTTCAGGAGAGCTTTGGCTATTCAGGGTTTTTGGTGATTCCATGTGAATTTCATCAATAATTGTTCTATTTCTTTGAAGAATGACATTGAAATTTTTATTGGAATAGCATTGAATCTGTAGATTGCTTTTGGTAGGATGGCCTTTTTAATAATGTTTATCCATCCAAACCATGAGCAGGGGATGTCTTTCCATTTCTTTGTGTCTTCTTCTATTTCTTGAACAGTGTTTTATAGTTTTCTTTGTATAGGTCCTTTACCTCTTTTGTTAGATTTATTCCCAAGTATTTGATTTTTTTTGTTTTGATAATAAAAGGGATGGGTTTTTTGATTTCTTCTTCTTCAGATTTATTGTTTGTGTATAGGAAGGCTACTGACTTTTGCATGTTGATTTTGTATCCTATCACTTTACTGAACTGATTGATGAGTTGAATTAGTTTTTCTGTGGAGTTTTTGGGGTTCTCTATGTATATTATCATATCATCTGCAAATAGTGACAGTTTGGCTTCTTCTTTTCCTATTTGGATTCCTTGTATGTCTTTCTCTTGTCTTATTGCTCTGGCTAGGACTTCCAGTATTATATTGAAAAGCAGTGGTGAGAGTGGACATCCTTGTCTTGTTCCAGATCTTAATGGAAATGCTTTCAGCTTTTCACCATTGAGAATGATACTGGCTGTTGGTTTGTCATATATGGCCTTTATGATGTTGAGGTACGTTCCTTGTAAAAGAATTTCAGGGGCTTTTATCATGAATATCAGGGGCTTGCACTTTGTCAAAAGCTTTCTCAGCATCTATTGATATTATCATATGGTTTTATATTTCTTTTTGTTGATGTGTTGGATAGAGTTGATTGATTTTCGGATGTTGAACCATCCTTGTGTCCATGTAGGAATGAATCCTACTTGGCTGTGGTGAATTATCTTATGGATACATTGTTGGATTCTGATAGCTAAAATTTTATTGAGGATTTTTGCATCAGTATTCATTAGGGAGATTGGCCTGTAATTTTCCTTTTTCGGTTTTGATATTAGTGTAATGTTGGCTTCATAGAATGTGTTTGGTATTGTCCCTTCCTTCTCAATTTTTTGGAAGAGTTTGTGAAGGATAGGCACTAATTCGTCTCTGAATGTTTGATAGAATTCATTTGTCAATCCATCAGGTCCTGGGCTTTTGTTTTTGGGGAGGGTTTTGCTTATCATTTCAATTTCACTGCTTGTAATTGGTCTGTTTAGGTGTTCTATTTCTTCTTTATCTAGCTTTGGGTGATTGTAGAGTTGTAGGAATTTGTCCATCTCCTCTAGATTGTTGAACTTGTTTCCATATAACTGTTCATAGTAGTTACTGATTATTCTTTTGATTTCTGCTGTGTCCGTTGTGATTTCTCCTCTTTCATTGATGATCCTGTTTATTTGTGCTTTCTCCCTTTTTTCCTTTGTGAGCCTGGCTAGGGGTTTGCCTATTTTATTGATTTTTTTCAAAGAACCAGCTCTTGGTTTCATTGATCTTTTGGATAGTTTTTTTAGTTTCAATTTCATTTATTTCTGCTTAGGTTTTTATTATTTCTTTTCTCCTACTGGTTTTGGGTTTTTTTGTTGTTCTTTTTCTAGATCTTTGAGCTTTGAGATTAGGTTGTTTCTTTGAGTTCTTTCTTGTTTCTTGATGTGAGCCTCTATTGCTATATATTTTCCTCTTATTACTGCTTTTGCTGCATCCCATACATTTAGAAAATTGGTGTCTTCCTTGTCATTCAATTCAAAGAATTTTTTAATTTCTTCTTTGATCTCCTCATTAGTCCAGTGGTCTTCCAGTAGTGTGGTTTTCAATCTCCATGAGGTAGGAGAGTTCCTTGCCTTCTTTTTATGGTTTATTTCTAGTTTGATGCCTTCATGGTCAGAAAAGATGGTTGGTATGATTTCAATCTTGGTGTATCTGTTGATGTTTGTCTTGTGTCCCAGTATGTGTTCAATCCTGGAAAATGATCCGTGTGTGCTTGAGAAAGATGTGTACTCCGTTTTTTGGGGATTTAGTGTTCTATAGATGTCTGTTAAGCCCAAGCGCTCTAGATCCTTATTTAGAGCTTTAGTGTCTTTACTTATTTTTTGTCTCGTTGATCTATCCATTGTTGATAGTGGTGTGTTGAAGTCTCCCACTACGTATGTGTTTTCTCTGATGTCTGGTTTCAGAGATGACAATAGTTGTCTGATATATTTTGGTGCTCCTTTGTTTGGTGAATATATGTTAATGAGTGTTATTTCTTCTTGAAGTATTGTCTCCTTGATCATAATGTAGTGACCATTGGGGTCTCTTTTTATCATTTTGAGTTTGAAATCTGTTTTATCTGATATAAGTATAGCTGTCCCTGCTTTCTTTTTTGGTCCATTTGCTTGTAGGATTGTTTTCCATCCTTTAACTTTGAGTCTATTTTTATCTTTTATAGCTAAATGTGTTTCCTGAAGACAGCAAAAGGTTGGGTTTTGTTTCTTAATCCAGCCTGCAACTCTGTGTCTTTTTATTGAAGAGTTTAGTCCATTTACATTTAGAGTTAATATTGATATGTTAGCATCTGAATTTGCCATTGTGTTTGTCTTTCCTTTGATTTTATTTGTTCATTCTTTTAATAACTTTTTTTTTTTGGCCTTCTTTCGTTTTTATTCGTCCCTCTGATGTTCTGACTTTAGGACTCCTTGTAGTATTTTTTGGAGTGGGGGTTTAGTCGTAATGAAATTCCAGAGTTTCTGTTTGTCTGGGAAGGTCCTTATTCTTTCTTCATGGAGGAAGGAGAGCTTTGCGGGATAGAGTATTCTTGGTTGGCATCTGTTTTCTTGGAGTCTGTTGACTATGTCCCTCCACTCTCTCCTTGCCGGTAGTGTTTCTTCAGAGAAGTCTGATGTCAGCCTGATTGGTTTTCCTTTGAATGTTATCTGTTTCTTCCCTCTTGTCAGCTTCATTATTTTTCCTTGTCCTGGATTCTTGGGAGCTTTACTATTATGTGTCTTGCTGTAGTTTTCCTTTCGTCGTGGAAGTTTGGTGTTCTTCTTGCTTCTTGTATATCAATTTTCAGCTCCTTCTTCACGTTTGGGAAGTTCTCTTCAGTTATCTCCTTGAATATTTTCTCTGTTCCTACATCTCTCTCCTCTCCTCTGGGATTCCTATAAGTCTTATATTTTCTTTCCTCATGGAGTCAGATAGTTCCCGAAGTCTTTCTTCAGTCTTTTTTCTTCTTACTTCTCTTTCCTTTTCTGTTTTGGTTCTTTTTATTTCTGTGTCTTCAAGAGTACTTATTCGTTCTTCCATTTCATCTATTCTGCTTTCATTGCTTTTCCCATTGTTCTTTAGTGCCTCCATTAATTCTTTGATCTCCTGCATTTCTTTTACTTCCCTCTTTAGGGACTCAATTTCATTCTTCTGATCGTTGATTATTTTTCCCTTATCATTGTTTTCCTTTATGAGTTCTGTCAGTTTTTTAATCACGGCAATTTTAAATTCTCTTTCTGGAAGGCTCAGAAGTTCTTCCAAGTTACTGTCATTGCAATCTGGGGGTTGGTTTTCTTTTTGTGGTGTGCTTTTTTCCTGAGGAGTTGCTAGGTTATGTGTGGTTCTTCTACTCCCTTCTGTTTGTTTTCTAATTTGCTGTATGCACTTTGACACTGTGTTGCTGGGACTGGCCGGCATCCTGGGTGAACATCTCTTCTCCCCTCTGGCTCTTCCGGGAGCCATCTGTCGGTTTCAATCAGTCTTTACTGGTGAAATGTCCCTGTTCTAAAATGCCGATGTGGGGACACGCTCCCCTGCATGCCTGGTCTGCCCCGGGGGTGGGTTCCCACTTCCCCTCTGGGCTGGGAGTGCAGGCCAGAAGAGGCCTGGCGTGGGTGAACTTCCCACCTCACCTCTGGCTCCTCCGGGAGCCTTCTGTTGGTTTCAGGCAGTCTTTACTGCGCAGTCAGTGTCTAAAAAAAGATATGTTCATTTAGTTTGAGATTAGTATAGGGGAGAAAAAATAATTTTCCCTCTACTCTTCTAAGTTCTTAGCTGAATATCCTGTAATAAAAAGACATAGCAACAAGTTGATTAAATTCTTAATTATTGTATACATGGGAGATGCTTGGGAAAAATGAGTAACTCTCATTTGGCATGTGCTGCTGCCCCTCATTAATAACCTTAACTGTCTTGATGAGTGTTAGGGGAAACTGTGGGGTTTAACTTGCCCTTACTTTTGCATGCAGGTGCACCCTGAGCGTGACACTGGAGCAGGCCATCATTTTGGCCAGAAGCCACGGACTGCCCCCTCGCTACATCATGCAGGCTACAGATGTGATGCGAAAGCAGGTACATCTCATGCACATTACAGGGAGTTGTTTTACAGATCCTGAATTTGAAGTTACTGTATTCATTAATCAGGTGTCCAACAGGTGTCTGGGGACGTGATAACACTTTTTCTGGGCTCAGAGGATATGTTGTGAAAAAGAAACATTTATTCCCAGGGAAGAGGATATAGCAAAAAAACAAAACAAAACAAAACAAAAACAGAGCAGACATCATCTATTCATGGATTCTCCATGAAGCTTAGACAACCTGGAAAAATAATTTTATTTTGATAATATGAAGGAGGACAGGTTGTTGGGTAGGCAAAATGCAAAAGAACTGACTTAGGGCTGATGTAAAGGACAAGATCAAAGGATGCAAGGCATTTTCTGGGAATCCAGGTGCTTTAGTAAGGCTCAGGTAGTAGATTGAGGAAGCACTTGGGGGAAAGGAAGAAGAAACAAGAATTGAGGACCTTGAATGCTTCTGAGGATCTCAATGGGAATCACATATTCCATGCCAAGAGGTTTGTGCATTATTCCAAAGGTAAGGCACATATATCATACTTTCCTTTAGAACATAAAGCAAACTTTGGGCTCTCTGTAAATCAGAAATACTAATAAGTAAGAATATCCCAAAAAGAGAATGAACTTTCTATACAATAGCCCAGTAGTATTTTAAGTGTGGTAATTTGACTTTTAACCCTCAAAATACTTTAAAAAGATAACAAAAAAAGACACACTAATGTCCAAATTACTAATTATTTAGAAAATGTGATTAATTTGGTTGAAACGGTACAAATCAATAGAAAGACAAAGGGCAGTTGTAAGACATTAATTTAATATATTATTCTTGTCACCTTTTCCCAGGACTACTGCAGATAATTGATTTAACAAATTTCTCTACCTACTGACTTGGTTTAAATATTCCAATGATCATGAGTGACTTAATTTTTTAAGATATGCTTTTGCAATTATGACTGCTTTATTTATTGAAGACTTAGTGTATAATTCTCAAGCAAACATATAAATCCCTGTGGATTTGCACCCAAGACTACACTGCACAATGTTGAACAAGCAAAAAAAAAAGAAAAATTACAGAAACAGTAATAAAGTGAGGCCAATGCCATTCTGGGGTCTGCAGAAATGAGGTGCAAGGATTGTGGCATGCACTATTACTTTATATTGGGAACGCGGAGCTGAAAATTGAAAATCAAGATCTTAGGAGGTCCAGTAGGGATTTGCTAAGTAAAGGTTAGCTCCATAAGAGGCATGTGACACGCTTTGGTTCAGTTGGAAAAGGGCAAATACAGATGCAAATGCCAGCTGAAAGGATTTGTGTGTGTGTGTTGTTATGCAAATTCAATTTTAAAAAGTAGATAAAGGCAAACTTGTAGTTTTCAGGGTTGGGATTTGCGTGCTAAAACATAAAGAAAGAGACCAACCTTTCTATTTAACTCTTGCTATTAAAGTAAGTTTGCAGTAAGACTTGGAGGAGCCATCTGAAAATTACGGCTTGTGGCAGACTAAGAGATTGGTATTAATATTTTTTTAGAATAATCCAATAAGGGGGTAATTATGGATTGGCTACATATACATATTATATGGACTTGAATAATCAACTTCTTTCAACTGAAAATGGAGATAGATAAGAGGATAGAAAAGGTAAACCTGATGTTTTGTGGGCTCTTATGACTCATATATCTGGTGTTAACCTCTTTAAAATATACTATGCAAGCTATGTGTATATATTGTAGAGTTTAAAATATAATTTAAAAATACTGAAAAGATATGAAGTTCTATAAAATCCTGGTTCATTTCTAAATTGCTCTTTTTTATCAGTATTTATCATAGCCTCCTAATTTTTTAAATAACTACATTTAGAATATGCTACTTCCTTCTTTTGTACTTGTTTCTCTGATCCAAGTTATGACATTTCCAAGTGGTTTCTGACTTAGTTGTGAAAGGTCATAGAGCTTGGGGTCTTCTCTTCAGAGAAATTGGAGTAGACAGGTGCACAGAGATAATTTTGCAGCATTCTTTCTGTTGCTGATCCTCTTTCTAGTAATCATCAGTTGCAGACAGTGGGATTAATAAGTAGGATCCAATCTGCAAGTCAATGTTTATGTGGGATGTGAACAGTTTGAACACAAGTATGAATGGAAGATCTCAATTTTCTCTTTTGACTTTCAGCCACTTATAGACTCCACTTTCCAGAAACTAAATGGTTAGAATATTTTCCAAGTAATGAATAATAATTTCTAAGATTTTAGTTGCATTTTTAGGAAAAAGAAGTTTTTCAGGATGATTTAATGTTCTCATTTCTATTAGGTATAGTTTTCATATCTAGATTTTGTACATATATTTTCATAGAGCTATTATTTTAATTGTCTGGTTCTTAAAAGGAAAGATAAAGGATAGAAGATGCCCCTTGTAATTTTTTGGTAATGATTATTTTCTGAAGCACCACTTAACAGATTATAAAGATTTTTTTCATTGATAGGTGTAGAGTATATTATCTTTATTTATATATACTTTGAAGTAGAATTCTTACATTATAGAGATCCACATGCACATGTTTGTGCAGAATATGTGCAGATGTTGCTTTAAGAAAACAACTTCCTGGTAAATATTATTAAATATAAAATAGCTAAGTATGCAGTTAAGGACAAAAAAGGGACATGAGTGTGATAAGACTGTGATTTCTGTTGCATGAAACTATGGACACAGCAGGTATTTAGTATTTTTGATGTCTTAAGGATTGATTGCTTTTAGAAATCATGACAGATAAGATAATGAACACAAAGCTGTTATTTAAACTTATTTTGAATGATTTAGATGACAGGAAGTAAATGTCAGTCCTTTGAAACAGTGTATCAACACATTTTAATTCTTAAAAGCTTTAATTTTGAAAATGCTCATATGATATCTCTCTTCCTCAAGCAAGTGTCTTTTGATATTAAATACATTGTTTGAATAAATATCTATACTTGGTAGTAATGGCATGCTACGTAGTTACTACTTAGAGCTAAAAATGATTTCTTGACTTCTTTAGGGTGCAAGAGTTCAGAACACAGCAAAGAATTTGGGAGTCAGAGATCGAACCCCACAATCCGCCCCAAGGTAAGCAATTCCCCAGGTCTCTTTTTCCCAAAAGGCTTGCTCACTTTTTTCCAGACAGCTAACTCGAGGCTTTTTCCAGGGTAGACCAGATTGTAATCATGAAAACTGGTCTTGTAAATACCTATGGCTAAATGTGATTTAGCACAAATGCTTAAGAATTAAATAGAATTTTAGTTTCCTTGTGGTTATTTTATTTTGTAAGTTCTAGCATGAATTCAAAAACAAAGATACACACAGGTACTACATAAATGGGTAACCCAGCTGTGCCACGCTACCAAAATGTCATTTTCATTTAGAGATCTGTGACTGCCACAGGTCATTCCCTCAGGAATCATTGTCTTTTACATTTATTCCTCAATAGAAAACTCTTATTTAATCCAATTTAGATTTCAGTTTCTCCTTGAACTTGTTTGAGTTTCCTTGCTCTCTCTGCTCCCTCACATCTTATGTATTGATCTATAATAGCCTTCTATTGACTTGCAATGTGTTATTACATGTTTTGGGTTTTTGTTTTGTTGGGGTTTTTTTTGCCCAAACTGAATGTAAATTCTTTGGTGTAAGGGAATTTTTTGTTGTTGTTGTTCATAACACATCATACTGCCTTCATAGAAGACATCAAATATCTGAACTGATTTCAAGAGTGTGCTAATGAATAAATGATTACACGTGCTTTTTGTTTGTCATCATATCCAATATTCACAATCCGTAAGATCTGAACACTAATCTATCTTTAAAATAATTGAGCATGGGAATAGCCATCAAACAAATGTTGATTACCCTGGTGATGTTAGGGTAGGCAGCCATCTATCCTGAAGTAGGACAAAGCTAAATAACTTTTTTTACATTTGATTGCATTTCTGTACATTTGCATCTTAACAAAAAGTGGGCTCCTCAAAGTAGTGTCACAGACCAGATAATCTGTATTTGTTTCTATTTACAAAGAAATTACCAGAGTGAGAATGATGACTGCAGTGTTTATGAAGTTATATATTTCATTCTGAAAAACTATGTGGGCAGTGAAAGTTCTTTCAAAAGGAAAACATATTTTCCCCTTGAAAATTAATGGATCACTCAAGTTCTTATTGCATTTATTTTTTTTAAAGATTTATTTATTTGTTTATTTATTTATACAAGCACTGGGTACAGTCAGAAGTGCAGGAGGGTGAGAGAATTCACCAGAGACAGAGTGGGGAGCAGAACAGGCAGACGGACGAAATATACTGCTGAGGGGTGCAGCGGGCACGGCAGGAGAGGTCTGCGAGTCATGTGGGACCCTCCTCCGGTGGCCGGGGAGCAGCTGGGGCTTCAACCGGTGCTGCAGAGGCTGTGGGCAGCTTCGCAACCCAGCGCTCAACTGCTGTGCCACCAGGGAGGCCCTGCATTTATTTTTAATGCTGACTCCTAATTCAATTTAATTCTCAAGTCTTGTTAATATTATCACTCATAGTTGATTAGATTAGAACCTAAGACTTTTCCTTGTTAAAGAATCTTCTCACATAGGCATTCTCTTTCCAGCACCTTGAGCAAATATGATATGTTTGAGTAATAGATCCAGTGAAGTGTTAAAATTTCAATAGGAAAGCAAGATAATGGCTCAACAAGGTCTTCTTAGCAAGAGCTTATAAACACTAATAAACAGTAGGCATAGGGTAAGACTTCAGCATCCTAATCAATAAACCAATACACAAGCTGAATACAAGGAAAGAAGCTGATGTATTCACTTTTTTCTTTATCCAGTTATGTCTTGAAACACTTAAAGTGAAACAATAAAATGTGTCAGCTCTACTTTTGAGATTTTTTACAAGGGAATAATAACCCCTTTGAGAATTCGAAAGTAATTTTTTAATTTTTTTTTTCATTCATTCTACCAATATTTATTGATGATATAAGAAATGCAAAGCACATCTTATTCTCCTGTGAAGAATATAAATACTAAAAAGAAATAGTTTTGGGCCTCCAGGAACTCTCAGTTACAGAGATGAGATGAGTAAAGCTTAACTATATTAAAATTAAAATGTGAGACATCCCCTATAAGGGCTTCAGAGTGTGTGCTGAGGATCGCAGATCTGGGATCCTTTCCACTAGAGGACAGTGTATAAAAGAACACATTTGGCTCTCAAGTCCAGGTCATCCAAAGGCCAGCCTGGGGTAATGTTTCTAGAAATATCTTCATGGAGATTGTGTTTGCTATGATACCCAACATACTGTCATAGTTTCCCTTTTATCATTAACCTTCTTTTATTTTTAATAATTAATTCAGCAAACATATATTGGATTTCTGCTATGTGTATAAAGACAGATATCAAGCACTTTGTTAAAAGCTAAAGATAAAAATGGTCCCCTCCACCAGTCAGTGAAGAATAGTAGAATGGCAATTGAATAACATGAAAATAGCATACAGCATGTGATTAGAACCCCGATAGAAATAGGTACACATGGCCACAAGAATACAAATAAGGGACCTGTAACAGCCTGAAGTTGGAGAGGGGAAATAGCAGAGTATTCCTTTCCCTGTGTGCCTGGTAACAGATGTGCTATTCTATTCAGTTAATGCAGTAGCACCGCTGCCTAGAGGAGACATCACTTCCTGAGAACCAACCAGATCTCTTACTGATGATTGTATGTGATTTAAGAAAGATGCAAAGTGAGGCTGGGGATGTAGCCAAAGGCTAAATCAGGAAGAGAGTTGTATGAGATATTTTAACTTGAAGACAATAATAGGGAGTATTTAATTTAAAAATCTTCCTATTTATGAGATTTGAATTTGAGAATTTATCTTAGCATAAGGAGGATCATTTGAGGTCAGCTAAAACTAAAAGCAGAAACTTGCCAAGGACTATTGTACTATTGAGAATGAACATGAGAGGAGAGATTAGAAAGTTATTTAGACAACAGAATTGATAGTATTTGAACACTGGTTAGAATTAGATTAAGGGATTCGGGTAAAGAAGGATTCTAGCATGACCACCAAATATTTGGCTTGGATGACAAATGGTTCTAGTCACTGAGATCATAGATACAGGTGAATAGTATATCTAGAGAAAAGATGATTAACTCAATCAGGAATAATGAGAGTAAGGGCCACTGGGACATCCATGTGGAGATGGCTTTGTGAACACAACCAGAAAGGTTGTGCCTCCTCCTGACTCATACATTGGTTCTCCAAAGCAATAAACATATCTTCATCTAGAGCAACATATTTCACATGTAACTGATATTATTATTTTCTATTATGTCACAAAGTCTGCAAACTATTGTGCTATGAGAGCTGATTTTCTTTGTTTAATTGGGAGGTAGCATGCTAGAGTAGTTCAAGTGTGCAAATGGTTTTAAGTCCCAGTTTCTGCTTTGTGGCCTTATTTAGTCAGGTTATCATCTTTGAAACAGCTTTTTCATTTGTAAGATGGGGAGAATTGCCCTGGGACATAGTACAACTGAATCTTTAGCCTTAAAAGAAGCATTTGTTTATGATCTTCTTGATACAGTTTTTTTCTATGTGGAAAGATGGTATGGTCTAGTGACTGCAGTTGGAAAATTCTGCTCACTGAAGATTTGGATTTGGGCTGGAAATTTCAGCTTTAAGACAGCTGCACCCAAAAAGGAAAAGGAAAAAGTGGAGCCAGGAACAAACCTTTTCCCTGCAGGACCACTAGTGTTCATGAGTGGAATGAGAACACCAAAAGGGCCTCAAAATTTTGGGCAAAAAAAATGCCTCCCACTACCTAACAAGTTAGCTGCCAAAAAACTAATTCTTCAGTGCAACTCTTACCTATTTCATTTTACTTCCAAGCATCATCTGCCTGTTCTAAATTCCCAATGCCCCACAATTTCCATTACAAATGTGTCTGAACTCAAATAACCCTGAATCACTTCCAAGAAGCCTCACAGAAGCTGATTCTTCCCGGCTTCGCCATTCCCAGAGCTATTATTTCATTAGGTGATCACAGGGAGTAGCCTTTTCACCAATTTGCAAGGCAGACATTTCAAAAACTCGTCTACCTTGTGGCATTAGTTACATTTTGTGGAAACGTGCAGTGCACGATAATGGAATGTGATGCTCACCTCAGATCTCACAGACAGCCACCACCCAGCCTCTGTTATCTGTTCTACCTGAGAAAGGCCACTGTTCCTTTTTATTCATTAGGCAGAACTATCTGGGAAATAGGAGGATAGAAACTACAGGGGAAAAGAACTTTTCAATCATGCTATTATTCCAGCACTGGGATGCAATTTGAAACAACGCCATATCCCTCAGCAATAAAAGAAGCTTTGAAGTCCATCAGCTCAATTTAATGCATTCTTTTCTCCAGGAGAGATGGAATCAGCTTTTCTGATGTGAGATGTCCTCATTATAGTATTCGTTTTCTTCTGCGAACATGACATATAGAGCATTAACCACCTTCCTGATTAAAAATACATTTTGCAAATCCCCAAAGGCAATGACAACTTCTATATGTTTGCAGACAAGAAAAGTTCATTTTTGTTGACTTAGTTTCTAATAATAAATTTTCTCATTTTTCCTCTTTGACTTAGAATTACATGAGATTAAATGTTGATATGAGGTAAAATTTATAATTTGCTGAATTTGTCAGTGCTCATTTAAGCTGTGTTCAGTTTAATCTACAAAGAGGAGAGAATCACCACAGTTACCCTGAGTTAGGAATACTTTTGAAAAAGAGCAAAGTTGAAACCTGCACCTTATATATTTTAGGTTATCAATCAAACTCTGAAGTAGGCCCACTGTGGGCACAGACGCTACTGAAGACAATGGGAAGAGTCCACCATCCAGTTGATTTAGTCAACCTATCTCTTCTCAGACTATGCCTTAAATTATAGGTTTGCCCTGTGGAGTTGCTCTCGCAAGTGTTATGTTCTATTGCTTTGGTTCTGGACTTAGGTTTTAACCACTGGGCGAATGGGGAGCACTAGAAATTGCGTAGTCTTAGTTCAATTTCCTGAGTTTGCTTTAATGCTGAATGGTCTCAAACTACTAGACCTGGATGCATAGTGAGGGGGGTCATCTCAGGCAATCCCCACCAGTTCAAGTGGACTTCTTGACCCACGTGTTAATCACCCAATTCTCTTGAGAGGTGAAAGGAGGGAATGGGCAGAGATAGGCAGAAATTCCCTATGAAACCCCAGCTAATTTTGTCTTTGATTTCAAATCTCAGCAATCTGCAGCATCAGCCTGTCCATAACCAACTGCCATATACCACAGGGAAATACAAATATGAAACAGATTTCTAAAATTGGCCAGAAAATCAGTAGACCCCTAAGAGATGGAAGCTAGCTATCTCATTCCAAGACAATCATTATCAACAAGATAGTCTTTGCAATAATATTTCCTCGAATTCAGAGATTCCATTTTCCTACCACTAAGGTAAACTACTGGGGTGGGCAATACTGGAGCAGAAGCAGCAGGGGTAAGAAAGGCAGCACTGCTGAATCTGTCACCATCTAGATGTACAAACAGACTGATTACTAAATGACTGACCTGAAAATTTGGAGTTTGCTATTTCCTATGTGATTTTTAGCAAAAGAGACATTATCCTTATACCCCCACACCAAGAAAATATTGTCAAGAAAAAAGAAAGAAAGAAAATATTGTCAAGAGTTTTTGTTTATCCAGTAAAGAACATGTCAGGTAATGGCAGTACATCTGTCCACCGTCACTCTTTCCTGTGACTTTTCTAGGCTGTACAAGCTGTGTGAGCCACCTCCCCCAGCTGGAGAAGAATGAAGAGAATCCCTAAGCAACCAGGAAATCAGAAGCTTCTGAAAACTGGACAAGACACATGACATGCTGCCTAACCATTCTCAACTCAAGATAAAAGAAAAAATGAATTTTTTTCTCTAAACCTTTCACCATGGTGTACATAACTAATGTTCAGTTTGTGCTGGGATATTTTTCCTGGAAATGTAAATGCATTTAAACAATTCAGCTACACAAACTGGTTTTTCTATGTATTCACATTAAATATTCATTTTTGAGGTTAAGTTTCCTCCCTGAAATTTATGGAAACATTATCAGAGATAAAAAAACAAATTAACCATTGTGCTTCCTCTCTCATTTTAAAAATGATTTTGTTATGTTGTCTTCATCTTCTCCAAATGAGAACATGAATTAATGGAGATTTCCACTAGAAGAATTGTGACACTGAAGAAATATAACCATGATTTCCAGGTCCTCAAACAAAAATGTTACAGACAACATGAATCGGGTGCTGTAGACTTTCGGTCTCCCGCTGGCATCAGAAAGTAGTCTATGTGTGGAAGGTGACGGGCACGCCTTATTTTTTATCCTAAGAGCAGATTTCTCAGTAGTGGAGACTCTCAGCAAGCCCTTCTTCCTTGAAGTATCTTTTATGCTCATGGACAGTCCGAGTAAGTCAATGCTATCATGGCTGTCTGAACTGAGCATGGGTTCCTTGTGCCCTGCATACCAGGTTGTACCAGAAGGGGAAGAGGATGGGAAGAGGTAGGGACAGAGGAGGTATGGGGAATGGAGACTAGGGTGAATGAAGGAAAAAAAAAATATGCCCATTTAAAATTATAACATTCAATTTAGATTCCTAAAATTTGTAATTTTGTTAAAACTTTCGTGTGAGATGTCAGACCCTTAAAAGAACACATCATGCTGGGCAGTTTTCTATCATGGTATATTTATATGATATGAAAATAAAGCTTTATTTGTCAATCTTTAAAAGGACTATTAGGGACCCTTTCGGTAATTTATGGAAGCACAGAGTATCCTATTTTCATTCTAAAGTATACCTAATGTTTATCATTCATGTGTTGATAAAATAGCATTGTTTGTTAACATACTATATATGGTAATATTAATTTTAAATCCACAAATTTTTAAGTGATTAAAATGCCCTTATTGTGATTGTGATAATTAAATGAATTTAGACTAATGGAGTATGCAAAATGCTTTTCATAACTAAAATATATGAAAACTACTATTAAATTTTAATTTATGAAATTTGGTGGTGATTTTCAAGCTTTCATTCAAAACCTTTTCACTAGTGCATTGAATAACAAAACTGTTACACATGTATGTGTAAGATGTTTATATACTGATCAAGGTAATAATAATTGTTATTTAGCACAAAAGCGCATTTTTGTGATAAGTTCATAGACATAATGAAAAATAAACCAGCATCACAGTTTTCAAAAAAAATCCAACACTTTGAGTTTAATGAAGCTATGACCTTAACATAAATATCTATATTAAGTATATACCCAGCTTGCAGTGGTGATTCATGATGCTATCAGCAGGTGCTTCTGCAGGTCCATGATATTAGTGAATTGTGATTTTCCTGTACTGAAAATTTGTTCATGTTCAATGCAGAGCTAATGAGTGAGCAAACCTGATGAACTAGCAAATGCTTTTCATATCATCATTACTATTTTCTAATTACCATCCTGGCAGTAGTAATCCTCATTAGAGGCTCTAAGAACATTCTAGTTGTACTTTGCTATGTGTCAAGAGGGATATGATCTGCTAATGTGATATTTATAAATTAGCATATTTTAAAGGGTTTACTTTTGATATAATAAAATGTACTTTATATTATTTTAAGGATTAAACACAAGTGTACCATCTTTTAGAGTTCTTGGCATTTATTAAATGGTCAAAATATAGTAACGATGTATATATCATCAGTCGCTTTCCTTTTTTTGTTGTTGTAGTATAAATTGTAGCCCACAATTAAGTAATTGCTATATGCCAAGCGATGCAAACTTTCACCATCCTCTGTTATTACTGATTCACTTAATCTTCATGATGAATTAAAGGTTGTGCTCTTTTCATCACCCTAATTTTACAGCTGAGGAAGTGAAGCAATGAATGGCCCAGTGACTTACCCAAGACCACATGACTGAGAAGTGGTAAAACCAGGTTTTGAAACCAGAAAGTCTTTCTTTTAATACTTTGTTTTTCTTCTCCTTATTTCTATTTGAATTATTATGAGTTATTTGTGAGTATGGTTGGTATTATGTGGTATATTTTGCCTTTACATAATACATCATATATTGAGAAAATAGAAGTGAAGGGAAATATGTCAAATGCTTTTAATGTAAGAAAACAATTTTGGATATGTGTTGAAAGCCTGGAAATGTACATCATATAAATTTTGCCAATTATTATAAAACAGCAGTTACAGGGCCTCCCCAGTGGCGCAGCGGTTGAGCACTGGGTTGTGAAGCTGTCAGCAGCCTCTGCAGAGTAGGTTCGATCCCTGGCTGCTCCCTGGCCACCAGAGGAGGATCCCACATGGCTCACAGACCTCCTGCCGCCCGCTGCTCCCCTCAGCAGTGTACCTCGGTCCTTCTGCCTGCTCTGCTCCCTGCTCTGGCTCTGGTGAATTCTCTCACCCTCCCGCGCTTCTGACTGTACCCAGTGCTTGTATAAATAAAAATAAATCTTAAAAAAAATAGGCAGTTACAATAAACAAATGTCTAATGAATGAATTTTTCAGTACCATATAATAATGTACCTCTATGTGGGACATGAAACATTTTAAGTTTGAGCAATTTGAGAAGACTAAAATTTTACATCTATTTCCACTACTGTTTGAGATGGAAGGAAGGAAAGAAGGGAAGGAATTTCTGTTCTAGTTTTACATATATTGAATATATAATGGTGAATTTGAAGTCTAAGCTTTATTTTATGAAGACAGATCACAATCTTAGAGTTCTCATATTGTCTCTTTAAATTACATTCTATCAGTGACTTAGATTCTTGTGCATTCAAAGGCTACTCTATGGCAATAATGTTCATTTTAAAATTATGTTCATTTCTTATGATACTGTAGCACTTATGCATTGTGATATTGGTTCTGACTATTAATTTAAATACTGTGATAGTTAAGTTCAGAGCGAACTAAAGTTGACCTCAGCACTAATGGTAAAAGTCAAAAAATGGATAAACAACTGAAGGACATATTAACTAATTCAAGAAAACAATTTTTAGCCATTTGGGCACATACATGTGGTCGACAAAGTTAACATTTGTTGACTTGGACACATTCAATTGATAATTATTTATGTATTTGAAAATAATGCATTTCTATTTAAAACGTTAATTATTCAGTAGGTCTTTTCCTATATGGCATGATTTAATTCAGATTAGAGAGCACAGTTTTATTCTCTTGTATTTTTGAAAAATATAATATTAAAATTTAAGATGAATAACCTTATTTAAGTCATTCTACTTTAAAGATCACTTTTAGACCTTCTTCATTTGTGACACTGGTATTTACTAATATTGAAACTAACCTTTAGTGTGTGACTAAATTGCTTCATAGTTTTGGGAAACTATCTTTAATTTTTAGACTTATTTTAAGTGAATTATTGCACTAAATTATGGCTTGATTATTTCCCCAAAGCTCGGAATAGTTATTTCATTAACATGCATATATTTTATACAATTTGCTGAGTGAATTGTCACCTTTCCTGCTTACGTATAAAGTATACCTAAGTATGAAAGGTTTTGAAATGGTTTATGATGATCTGAACTTAGATCAAGAAAAATGTTCTTTGTACTGTCTCGCTTTTGAGGTGTTAGTGATGAGCCTCAGGAAGGCTTCACCATGCGTGAAGCAGAAGAGTGAAGGGAAAATTCTAAAAGGATTCTGGGCCCAAAATGGGTTGAGGTGAATTCCTTTTACATGCAGTGGCCACAATCAATTAGATGCTGTGATTCCATAATAGTTATTACAGTTAGTCATTGGTTTGAGAAGAATTTTACTACTTCAAAACTTTGCTTTTAATGTGTTGTCAGCATCCATGTGGCCAAGCTCTGCATGCAAGGAAGACTGCTAGATATGAGCAGCTTGCCTCTCCCTGTTGTTGCATGGACAGGTGGCCTTCTTCACTCAGGATAGCTTGTTTCTCTCACTAAGAAGAGATGCTGTTGTCTACTAATGAAAATATATGTAATAAACTGTGTGTATATATGCATGTGCATATATATATGCCTTTTTTATAGAAGTATAGTTACTACTTTTTTATAACAAGACAATAAAAATTACTTAGGTTCTTTTCTGTTTTGTATGAAGATATAAAAATGGAGTTATTCAATATATTGAATGTTTGTTTTGTAGACATCATAGTTCCCTAAATATACACTAGGCATACCTGGTAAACCATCTTTTAATCACTGACACTGGTTTGCTACTCAATCTGGCATCAATTTATCTGACTTTGCCAACCAGAATTAACTGATTAAGAATAAAAATTACTGACTTTTAAAATGATATTCATACTATAAATAGAAAGCTTTGAATAATTAATTTTGGGCAAATATAGAATAACAAATGTCATTTACTCATGTATTCATTCAATAAGCATGTTTGAGAATTCACTTCGTACAGGCACAGTGAATAGGCCTCGTTTGTGTATTGGATTTGTTTGCTTTGAAAACCTGCACAGTAACTCTTTGATGTTAATGATTGCCTGTGTCTGTTACTTGAAATGACTTTATTTGTAATGTAAACATATTCTAATACTGTGTAGGTATATATAATGTATGAAATAAGAAACCTAAATTGGTAAAATATTTAGGAAAGATGCATTTAAATTTGAATATCTAATGCCTTAAGCAAATTTATTAGTTTCAGAAAAATATATATTTTTGTAACTGCCAAGTAAATGAGTAGAGCGTAGATTTTGCTTAAAAATATTTTTATAAGTATTCATTTACATCATATTCATTTTAAATAACCAAATATCAAATTGGTTCTATAAAATTTCTTTTGAATATATCTATATTTTAACATTGTATAATATTCACATGTAATGAAAAATTTCATTTGGCTGTTACTAGTCTATTTTTTTCCTTTGTAAAATACACATGTAACATAGTTTTCTGTCACTCGATATTCTGGTATGGTTAAAACAATCGAAGTGTATCTTGAATTTTATATCATTTATTTTTTGTCTGCATAAAAGACTAGAATAGTAACATTGTATCATATATGTTAATAAAGTGACACATAGTGTGACCATTTCCATTTTTATCCTTTTACATTGAACCAATTCCTACTATGTCCTCACCTGTTTGGAGACAAAGATCCATGGAATCTTGGATTTGCACACTTTCAGATTTGCACACTTTCAGATTTCGCAAATGAGATAGAAGAAACTGGATGCACATGTAGAACATATCTACAAACATGAGCCCAGGTAAGTTGCAGAGCCATTAATTGCTAGGAAGGAGTGGAGGTGGGGAAAGGTTAATATGAACCTCAGCATAGGAAAACTATCATGCAAGATAGGAACTTGTACTGTTCCCTGAATTATCTGGTCAGTCTATTGTGGTTTATTCAGTACCTATTCTGTATAAGCCCATGTCCCAGCCGTTGAGGGTGTTATAAATGCATATAATTCCCAAACTCTCTGGTTAAAGAACCTTATATATACATATGATTAATGCAGTGAAGGATAGGCTAGCCTTCAGGATGAGTAAGATTGAGCAACATAAGAGGAGAACAGCAACCTTGTTAACAAAAAGCATCAATATGGGCAGTTAGATGCACAAACAATAGATATTTAGATGGGAAGGTGCCTGAAACATTCTGGGTAGGAGGTCAAGATTCACCAATGTGCTCCCGTGTGCTCTTCTCTCCTCTGCCCAGATCGCTTTTCCTCCCCTTCCATCACGTAAAGTCTCTTATCTACAGTTGCCTGCTAGTTTTGTTTTATAATTATTATTGTTGTTGCTATTTTTTTTCCTGATCCCTTATTTGTTTCCCCTACACGTCTCCTAAGTGAAACCATTTGATATTTTTCCTTTTCCTTCTGGCTTATTTCACTGACCATGATCCCTTCCAGCTCCATCCATGTTGCTGCAAATGACATGAGTTTATCTTTTGATTGCTGAATAGTATTCCATTGTGTATATATACCACATCTTCTTGATCCAGTCATGTATTTTTGGGCATTTGGGTTGTTTCCATAGCTTACCTATTGTAAATAGTGCTGCAATAAACATAGGTGCAGATATTTTTGAATTAATGTTTTTGTCTCCTTTGGGTAGATTCCTAATAGTGGAATTGCTGGGTCATATGGTAGCTCCACTTACAGTAGTTTCCACAACTTTCCATAGTGGTTGGACCTGTTTGGAGAAAATTTTGCTCTGGATGGTATAGGTCTCAATGCCAGAGCATCATGAGCGTAAGAAAGTTGTAATAGCTGGTTGATAACAATGATAAAGAATTATGAAATCCAAGTAAGGAATTTGAAAAATGTGTATGTAGTTGATCGTGTCGACTATCAGAAAAGTCCATAGAAACAATCATTGTAAGGCATGAAAATCAATAACCTGGGCCTCCCTGGTGGTGCAGGCATTAAGACGCAACCTATGAAGCTATCCTAGCCACTGCAGCACGAGTTTGATCCCGGGCCCACCAGGGAGCTACCCACATAGTGCAGCAGACCTCTCCTGACTCGCCCGCTGCTCCCCTCAGCAGTGTATTTCAGTAGATTTGCCTGTTCTGTTCCCCACTCTGTCTCTGGTGAATCCTCTCACCCCTCACACCTCTGGCCTGTACCCCAGTTCTTGTATGCATGACTAAATAAATCTTTTTTAAAAATCAGTAAGTTTTACTTTTTGAGACTACTGGTGTACTATGAGATTGTAAATTTAGTACTGCAATAAGAAGAAAATTGAATCAGCAAGCAAAAGCTATTTGTTTATAACAACATCTTAGACACTGATGTTCCAGAGATGCTATTAGCATTATGTCTCTCTCTCCCTCTCTCTCTCTCTCTCTCTCTTTCTCACACACACACACACACACACGTGAGCACACAGCATTTTATGGTCAAATAAGTTTATGAAACAGCATTAAACAGAATTCTTTATAAGATTTCTCTAACCTTTTACTATTGGAAAAATCATGAGAAGTAGTAGCCTGTGTTCCTCAAACTTACTAGAAGATAAGTCATGGTTTATGGAAGATCTGTTGAAATTTAATTGAAATACAAGTATTCAGCAAAACACAATATGGGAAAACTCTAGAATAATCTTATATGAACATGAAGGGGGTAAAAGGTGAATAAATTAATAGACGGTGACAGTCCTTATACCTGATGGGGGTGCCATTAATACCTAAAGGGATAGATGACAAATGTGGACATAAATGAATAGTGACAGTAGATTAGAATTAAACATAGGCTGTGATATTATATTGGTCTCTCACCCATTCATCTATGTTAAAAGTGTTTGGGATGAGAAAGTGTTTATTACATAGTAAACACAAATATCTTCTCTCTTTTCTAATTATTTTTGATGAAATGCTTGGGGACATGTTATAATGTCAAAATTTGTCTGCAGCCTGTCATGTTTTCTGGACTTTAATTCTCAGTTGCTGTGTGCTTGGTGTCTTGAGTTCTGACTTGAAGGAAAAAGACTAATTTTCTTTTCACAATATTCTTGTAAAATATGCTAAGTATAGAGTTTTCTAGGCAGGCAATGGTTAACCATTTGAACATTATCAAGTGCAGTAATACAAGTATTTCACTGATTTTTAAAAAATATTTATTTATTGGGCCTCCCTGGTGGCGCAAGGGGTTAAGCACCACACTGTGAAGCAATCCACAGCCCCTGCAGCACGAGTTTGATCCCCTGCTAGCCAGGGAGAAACCCACATGGTGCAGCAGACCGCTCCTGTCTCGCCTGCTGCTGCCCTCAGCAGTGTATTTCATTCAGTCTGCCTGTTCTGTTCCCCACTCTGTCTCTGGTGAGTCTTCTCACCACCCCCACCCCCCCAGCATCTCTGGCCTGTACCCCAGCTCTTGTATGCATAAATAAATATACCTTTTTTTAAAAAAAGATTATTTATGCATATAAGAACTGGGGTGTAAGCAGAGGTGCAGGGGATGGGAGTGAAAGGATTCACCAGAGAGAGTGGGGAGCAGAACAGGCAGATGTACTAAAATACACTGCTGAGGGGAGCAGCTGGTGAGGCCTGAGAGGTCCTCTGTGCCATGTGGGAAGCTCCCTGGCTGGCTGGGGATCGAACTCATGCTGCAGTTTTGTGGCTGGCAATAGCTTAATAGCGCTGTCCTTAACCCATGTGCCACCAGAGAGGACCCTGATTTTTTTTTTTAAAGCTAAATTTTGATAATGTAACTCCCTAGTCTAAGAAGGTATTTGTTTCTCCTCAGATCATCTCCAAGATTCCTTGACATTGGAAATTTTCAGGTCTTAATGTGGATGCCTCCCTTCTTAATTAAAGTGAATACAGGGGAAGGAATTTCCGTACCAGGTTGTGTGGAAATTCAATAAGTCACAGTTAGATTTTCTGCCCTTGACTCACTATCTTGCTTTTTTTAAGGAAGCCTGTGAAGACCATGCCAGAAAAGTGATAAAATAAATTATTCCAGAGCTGTGTTCTCAGAAAAAGACAGTGATCACCACATGATATAATAGAGTGTTCTGTTTGGAGCACTTAAGTTCAGAAGGATGAAGACAAGTGAGGATATAAATGATGGTCAAAGAATGACTAAGGACATGCAGGGATTTATTGCCAGGAAATATTAGGTCAACCAAACACTGCTGCTGCACTAAGTGCCATATGTTGACTCACTGCCAAAAGTGTTTACCTTGGAGGTTAGACATCAAGATGTAACCTGACTTTAACAATGAGGGTTCTAGAAAATGTAAGCAAACACAATAAAATAAGCTGGATGATGATATGAAAAGAGGCTTTTATACACAATTCTTGAAATACTTGAATTATATAAAATTCTAGGAGATTTTCTAACAAGATTTTTTGTTAAATTTTAATGAAAGTAAAATTTGCATAACAAAATTGACCACTTTATTTTTTTTAAATGATCTTAACTACTTTTTTTTTAACTTTTTTTTTTTAAGATTTGTTTATTTATTTATGGAAGCACTGGGTACAGTCAGAAGTGAGGGAGGGTGAGAGAATTCACCAGAGTCAGAGCGGAGAGCAGAGCAGAGCAGGCAGACTGATGAAGTACACTGCTGAGGAGAGCAGCGGGGGCAGGAGAGGTCTGTCGCGCTGTGTGGGACCCTCACCCAGCAGCTGGGGATAGAACCAGCGCTGCAGAGGCTGCGGGCAGCTTCGCAACCCAGCGCTCAACCACTGCGCCACCGGAGAGGCCCCAAATTTGACCACTTTAAAGCACCCAGTTCAGTGGCATTAATTCACTCATGATGCTGTGTGACTATCACTCCCTTTTAATAAAATTATTTTTCATCACCTCCAAGCATATTTTTTAAATCAAATGTTCATTTTGAGATCATGATAGATTCTCCTTTCTTTTACAAAGTTGCAAGATCAGTGGAGGAAGCCTTTTCAACAAATGGTGCTGGGGTGTTGGATAGCAATAGACAGTATATCAATATTACATCTAGAAAATTTAAATCAAAATTGATCGTGGATTTAAATATAAAACAAAAAAATTGTAAAGCTGAGGGGAAAAATGTAAAAGAAAATCTTTAGGCTCTAAAGCTATATAAAATTCTTAGTCTTGATATAAAAAGCATGAGCCATAAGAGGAAAAGCTGATAAATTGGGCCTTACCAAAATGGAATTTTTTTTCTATTTTAAAGCCTATGTGAA